AATGGACGTTACGTAGACATGTTTAAATTAGCCCCACCTTCCGAGGAGCATGAGAAAGGAAGTGCTTCAACCAAAAAGCGCTCAGGGGTTTCTGCGGCGGGCAGGACTTTCGAGCATTGGCTCGATTGTTTTCAGGTCTTTGCTGGTATAGTTATGGCAGCTTACCCGCGTAGGTCCCTTCATTTGTTAGTTTATCTATCTATAGTGCGTTCTGCATTCACCAAGGCTGGAGAAAAAGCTGCGATAAAATATGATGAGAATTTCAGGCGTCGCGCGGCTAAGATTCCTTCTGCACGCTGGGATCGCAAAGATCTCGATGTGTGGACTACTTACGTTGCTCCACTTATTGACAAAAAAGTGCCGGAGCAGCAGAAATCGGGTATCTCTGCTTTTAGACCTGGCCGTCGACTGCCATGTTGGGATTTTAACAGGGCCTCATGTCAGCGTCCAACCTGTAGATTTGCGCACACTTGTGAAAAATGCAATGGATTGCATCCTGCTTCCTCTTGCTTTGGTGGACGGCGGCCCTTTCGTGGAGGAAGGGGGGGTTCTCAGCAACCCCCCAAGTCAGTCCCCTCCACCCCCTCTACCTCTGGAACAGCAAAATAAGCTACTTACTTCCTTGGCCCAGACTCCCGTGCGTTTGCCGGCCCTTCAAAAGTGGCTTCGGGATTACCCAGATAGGGAGGCCGCACGTTACCTCAGCGATGGTTTTTCTGTTGGTTTTCGGATTCCAGTAACCATGCCTCCTGTAGCGAGGAATGCGTCTAATCAGAAATCGGTTCGTGAATTGCCCGAAATTGCCCGGAAAAAGATTACAAAAGAGGTGGCTATGCACCGGATAGCTGGTCCTTTTAGTGCCCCTCCATTTCCTAATTTGCATGTATCCCCTCTGGGTATCGTGCCAAAGAAGGCCCCTGGTGAATTCCGTTTGATTCATAATTTATCGCATCCTAGGGGCACTTCAGTTAACGATGTGATTCCTCAGGAGCTTTGCTCAGTAAAGTATGCCTCCCTTGATCATGCGATCAAGATGATTCGGAAATTTGGACGGGCTGCTTTACTGGCAAAATGCGATATAGAGTCGGCATTTCGTTTGCTGCCGATTCATCCGGAGGATTTCTGGCTGCTCGGTTTCCAGTTTGAGGGAAAATATTATTTTGACAAGGCCATGCCCATGGGCTGTTCGATTGTGTGTGCTGCTTTTGAATCTTTCAGCACCTTTTTGGAGTGGGCCCTCAAGGTGAAAACCGGGCTGGTAGGGGTTACTCATTATTTGGATGATTTTTTATTGGCTTCAGATCGTAATACTGACAATTGCTCGGTGTTGTTACGCGCATTAGCTGACCTCACTGAGGAATTGGGGGTCCCATTAGCGGCAGAAAAGACTGAGGGTCCTTCGACTCGGCTCATTTACTTGGGTATCCTCTTGGATACGGTGTCCCAAACTTCCAGCTTGCCAAGGGCTAAGCTGGTTGCTTTGAGGAAGGTTATAGAAGAATTGCTTCCTTTAAAGAAGGTGTCCTTACTTCAACTCCAGTCGCTGTTAGGTCACCTGAATTTTGCATGCAGAGTGGTGGCCCCTGGTCGCCCCTTTTGCTCCCGTTTGGCTCGCCTCACGGTGGGTTTGAAGGCCCCTCATCATCGTGTTCGTCTATCTAGGGAGGTGAAGGCTGATCTTAGTATCTGGCTTGAATTCTTGGAGGAATTCAATGGGGTATCGTTATGGCAAGACACGCTTAACTTGCACAACGATTTTCAAGTGCATTCAGATGCTGCAGGGTCCCAAGGTTTTGGCTTATACTGGATGGGCAGGTGGTGTGCCAAACGTTGGCCTCTTGACTGGCAGGGAGCAGCCATTACGCGGGACCTAACTTTTCTTGAGTTCTTTCCCATTGCAGTGGCAGTGCACTTGTGGGTCGAAGAGTTCAGGGACCGACGTGTCTGCTTCTGGACCAATAACCAAGCGGTGGTGAACGTGCTGGCCAAGCTGTCGTCCCGCTCTCCTAGGGTGTCAGCCCTTTTGCGGGCTTTTGTTTTACATTGTTTACGTTATAACATAGTGTTTTCTGCTCGTTCCGTTCCGGGGGTGTCTAACGAAATTGCCGATGCTCTGTCCCGTTTTCAGATGGAGCGGTTCAGACTTCTGGTTCCAGAGGCTCGAAAACGTCCGGAATATTTCCCGGATCATCTCTGGAGCCTTGGCAGGAGCTAGTTTTTCAGGGAGTAACGGCTTCTATTTCCCCTTCTACTCTCAGGTCATACACAAAAGCTTGGACTGATTTCTTGTCCTTTACACATCAGTCAGTCAGGGAGCAGAGGTTGGCTTCCCCCTCTACTTCGCAGGTGCTAAGATATTTGGCGCACCTCTTTCAGTTGGGACGTGCAGCTAAGACGTTAAGGATTCAGGCAGCTGCCATTGCCTTTTTCTCTAAAGCTTATTTCGACAAAGATCCTTGCGCGAAGTTTGTCGTGCGTAAGGCCCTTGAGGGGTGGGGTAGGCTCTGTCCTTCCCAGCCAGCTACTCGGCACCCTATCTCATACGATTTGCTGTGCAAGATGCGCAAAGAGTTACGTAAGGTTTGCTGGTCCAGGTATGAGGCTCGCCTTTTCTCCGCAGCCTTTTCTATTGCATTCTTCGGGGCTCTAAGGGTTGGTGAGCTCGTGTGGGAGGAGCACGAACATGGTCATTCTAGGGGATTATTGCTTCGGGATGTACTGTTATCCCCGGCTGAGCTGAGGCTCATGATTAGGAACTCAAAGACAGATCAGAGGGGAAAGGGAGCCCTTATTCGTCTCCCTGCCACAGGGGAAGCGGGACCGTGTCCGGTCAAAGATGTTAGAAGGTACTTGGCCGTCCGTGTTCCAGGGGAAGGTCCAATGTTGAAGCATGAAGATGGGTCGCCCCTATCTAGGCGCCAGTTTGCAATGGTGATGCGGAAAGCCATTGTGGCTTGTGGTGATTCTCCTAGTGGTTTTGCCCCACATTCTTTTAGGATCGGGGCGGCCACAACGGCTGCGCATTGGGGCTTGTCTGCCGGCAGGATAAAAAATTTGGGTCGCTGGAAGTCGGACGCATTTAGAGGCTATGTTCCCTAACATGTTATATTTTATATTTACTTGTTCATCCCAGGTCTAGCAGCCGTACGCATATGGATGGTGGGGCACAGTATCGTTCATTGGGCCGGCGTCGGAGCCAGGCAGTTCGGATTGGGTCCAGGTCTCGGCCTTCCTCCTCACGTGCACGTATCTTGGCTGGCCAGAAGGGGAATGTCCTGGACTGAGTTTCTGCCGCTGATTCGGAGGCAGTTGGCCCACGGCCATCGTGGTGCAGCTGGGCGAGAACGAACTGGTTTCCATGGACTGTGCTTCGTTACGTGCCGCAATCCTGGGTGACCTTGAGGTGCTGCGAGCAATGGTGCCGGCAGCAAAAAAATTTTGGCCGAAGTTTTTGCAGAGGCGCAGTTGGAGAGGCAGTCGTTGCCCAACTGCCACTGAAAGGGCCAGGAAGTGGATCAATTCGGCTGTCTCAAAAAAGGTTTTTGAGATGGGAGGTGATGTGATTTCCCATCCCGAGATTCTGGCTAAGGATGAATCTCTTTTCAGGGGTGATGGGGTGCACCTTTCTGCCTTAGGGAATAAGGCGTGGCTGGGTGCTGTGGTGTCTAAGCTGAAGTCTTGGCTGGGTTCGTGAGTGGTTTGGCGGTGAGCGTAGGGCTCCATTGGCGGTTAGGCATTGGTTAAAATTGGTTGGTGGAGGGGTAAGTGCCTACCCCTCCAATGGTGGTGCGGAAAGGGAATTCCGTTAAAGGAATCCAGGGGCTTGCCATTCTTTTCGTCCTTGTCCCCGGAGTCGGACTTGGGCCGTGCAAGCCCCACAGGAACATGAGGGTGAGAGGTGTGGGACTGTTACCCAGCTTCACTTTCTCACCCAATACTTGTTTCCCACGCTGGCTTCCGCTGGAATCCGGAAGGCCAGCTCTGTCCCTGGGCAAGGACAGATAGTCATAACCAATGCCTAAGCAACCACTCACGTATTTGTATTTTAATAAAGTTGTGGCCAAAATCATGCCAAAAACCTTAAACAAAATTGATGTGTGAAGTGTGAATTATTTGGTGGGGGTGGCCTTGTGGGACTCAACACGCAACAAGCATGGAGCTCCTGACTATTCAGGCTTTTCCGTTTGTTTTAATTGGGGGACTCCATCAGCTTGCACATTTTGTGGACATAGATCAGGCCTCTCTATTGAAAAAGAAAATGTAAATTGTTGAAGGGAAACTCTGTAGCCATAAAAGAAACCCTCATTGGACTGGAGTGTAAGGATGCAGTCCACAGGTAAAGGTAAGTTCCACAGAAACCAGTGCGACTTACAGGCACAGACAAGCATTTGATGCAGGGGTAGGGAATGTGTTACCTTCTAGATCAGGGCTTCCAAACTTGGGTCTCCAGATGTTTTTGGACTACAATTCCCATCATCCCTGACCACTGGTTCTGCTAGCTAGGGATGTTGAGAGTTGTAGTCCAACAACAGAGGGAGACCCAAGTTTGGGAAACTCTGTTCTATGTGGTACTGAATTGCAACTTCTATCAGCCCAGCCAGCATGGCCAACAGTCAGGGATGATGGGAGTTGTTGTCCACTAGTCTAGAGAACACCACTTAGGCTACTCCTGATTTAAGCGCATTTTGATTTAACTTTCTCTTGATTTCATCCTTACCAGTATTGCACGAAAGCTGAGTGGCCAGTTTCAATTTCAAACACACAAAGTAAACTGAGAGAAGTGATTAGCTGTACACATATGCATGTTTTGAGTTTCACCGGAGGGTAAATCAGGTTACCAAGGTGGAAACTAAAAGGTTAGGGGAATGCAAAGCAAAGCTAAAAGAAAATCTGGACCTGACCCTCCTAGCTAGTTTAGTAAACATTAGCAGAAGTTTGTTTGGATAATCCAGTGGTTCTCATTTAATATTTTCATCACATTGTTTTGTGTATATATCTAGAACTGTGCCAAGAGGCCACCTCTGGAGAGGTTTTCCTGCTGGCTTCAGCTGCACTTGCCAACATTACTTTTTTTGATACAATAGCCTGTGAGATGTTGCTTCAGCTGGATGCAATGAATATTCTCATAGCAGCTTGTGGTGACAAACAGAGAGTGGATAGTCCCTATTCCCGAGACCAGGTAAGTGAATACACATTTATATATTGCTATAGAATGGGGTGGGGAAACCTTTTTCAACCCGAGGCTCACATTTTCTTCAGAGCAATGTTTTCAGGGCCATGGCTAAGTGATGTGTCTACTGTGTTGCAACTCCTTGATGGACGTCACCAAATCCCACTTCTGTGTAATAACACCCCACATGGCAGGTTTAGAGAACATGTGACAATCAGCTGTAACTCTGCAAAGATTTCAGACACCATGTAAAAATATTCCTTGAAACAGCCTTTCTTTAAAAAATGGGGATATGCTCTAGCAAAACTGTGATAGTTTGGGAGTGGATAGGACCTTCCTCTAAGCTTCCATTCCAAATTGTATATTTAAGATGTATACAATTCTCTCTTTCTAACCTGTTATATGTTATCTGCAAGTCTTTATAATCCTTTAAAAGTTTTGATGCAAATGGTTCTGGCAACTCATCCGCCTGTGTTAGAGCATATAGTTCTGGGCTCAAAAAGTAGCTCAAATGAGTACCAGCGAGTTCCAGCAAAACCCCACAAGTCTGAACAAAGCTGATTCAAAACCCCACTGAAGCTTAATGAATGACTGTCATTGACGTCAATGCTACGGAAGCTTAATTAACAACTATTCTTGCACTCTGGCTCAAGAAGCCAGCAGTTTACAATCTCTGCTGGCAATCATCAAGCCAGCAGCTCTGGAATTATTCTCTTCCTTAAAGGCCCCACTTCTTTCTTTTTTTAAATGAAGCACTGTAAATGGAATGAGAGAAATTACTATGGCTGTATAGCTATGAAAAAGTAAAACAGCATCCATGTTTCTTTTGAGCAGTGGTCTGCCCTGCTGCTATAAAGCTCCATGACACTGTGTGTGAAATATTACACTACCACAGTGCAAACTATCCTTTAGATCAGAGATAGAGAACCTGCCGCCCTTCAGATTGTTATGGCCTGGAACTGCCTTCATGCCCAGCCAATGGCCATAAGAACATAGTATAAGACGGGTCTGCTGGATCAGACCCATTCTGTTCTCATAGTAGTCAATCAGATACCCATGGGAAACCCATAAGTAGGACCTGAGCATTAGAGCACTCTGCCACCCTGTGGTTTCCATGCTGGCTGGGGCCGATGGGAGCTGGAATCTAGGAATTTCTCGAGGGCCACAGAAATCTGGAGATATTTTGAGTTATATAGAGATATTTAGAGTTAGAACAAGTGGTTCATGACACTGATGACCACCAACTTAGATGGCTTTAAAAGAGGATTATAGGAATTCATGAAGAATAAGCCTTTCAGTGGCTTCTAGCCAAATATCTCTGATCTGCCTCCATGGTCAGAGGTACAGTGGTACCTTGGGTTAAGAACTTAATTCGTTCTGGAGGTCTGTTCTTAACCTGAAACTGTTCTTAACCTGAGGTACCACTTAACTAATAGGGCCTCCTGCTGCTGCTGTGCTGCTGCTGTGCGATTTCTGTTCTCATCCTGAAGCAAAGTTCTTAACCTGAGGTAATATTTCTGGGTTAGCGGAGTCTGTAACCTGAAGCACCTGTAACCCGAGGTACCACTGTAGTGATGCTTCTGAATAGTTACTGAGAGATGCAGGAGGGGCGAATTCTCTGGTGATCAGGGCTTGCTTGCTGGTTTCACACGGGCAATTGGCCTGATTCAGCAGGCTGTCCTTTTGTTCTTATGTAATGCTGACGTATTTTGCAAGAAAGGAGGTAATTTGCTGGGTCAGGTCCTGGGTAGCTAGAAATACTCATTCTACCACATATGTGGTAGCAACTATGTGAATGGTTTGTAAAAATATACAGTAGGCACGGAGCCCCCAATCCAGACTGGGATGCTGGTGGGAGGAAAAGAAGGGGCTTAACCCTATGTCCTTGCTGCAGGCCTGATTGAGATCATTCTCCCCCTCACCTGCAATTTGCTTCCAGTGGTGCAAATGGGAGCTTTTCTTTCAATGAAAATAGTTGAGGGGGCAGCACTTTATCCAAGGTGGAACCTCAGCAGGTGCCAAAGAGTTAAAGCATTTGATTTGACTGCTGCTGTCTTGCAGCTGCTATTTGCTTTTTAAAAGCTATTCGTGCAGCTGCTAATTGCATGGGAGAAATCTTGCCTGGTTTGGCCTTCAAAGAACCCAGCTAGCTTGGGACGAGAACTGGTCCTGGAATAATTTGATCACCTCTATGGGTTCTCTGTAAAGTCCTCCAGTACGGTGTAGGAAATATGTTCAGTCACCTATATGACCCCTATTTGCTAAGAATGTGATTCTTTATTCCCACAAATATATACACACCACACGAATAAGCATTCTCTTTGAAAGACCAAATCGCTCCATTCAGTAAAATGGATGGATTAGCCATGCCAGACTCCAAATATATTGTAAGTTAGAATGATTAAAAGAGCAAATGGATAGAAATGACGTTTTTATCCAGTGAGTCATCTTGCCAAAAATGGAAGAGAGATAATTTAATTGAGATCAAATGTTATCCAGTATTTCCTCAAACACAGCAATGATGGCTTCTACAAAGATGATAAATTTAAATAAAGCAATTTTCCTAATAGAAAATGTACTGCAATTTGTGTTTTCTTTCTTTTTTGTGGCATCATTGCTGGCTTTTGTAAGATAATTTTCTCTGACACATGCAAGTTGTTCACTTCAGGAGGGATCCAGGTGGTGGGTGGACTAAGTCAGTCTGTCTAGTGCTTCACAGCCTGTGCCACAAATAAGGACACATGGATTTAAGTCCGTTTCAATTCGCTTTTCTTCTCATGTGCCTCTTCATGGTGTCCTTCAGCAGGCCTAAGCAGTATTGCTGCAGCCTGCTGGTGGGCCTGCACCAATCCAACACCACTCTGCTTTGCACCCTCCCAATGAGTACCAATGACTCTGCTATGGGGAGGCAGACTCTATGGTGGTTCCCCATGCCTGGCTGCTCCTGCCTGAAAAGGAAGGTATTACAATGCTTCTTAAAAAATGTTCCAATGTTTGCAAGTCATGGAAAAGGCAGTGAGAACACCTCTACCTCCCTAGCTGTATATATTTATGTTGTGAATCACCCTGAGATCTATGGGTATATGGTGGCATACACATTTTAACAATAAATATATCTTTAACAAAGTCTGAGCTGCTTACACGAGGCTCCCTGGGATTTCCCAACCTGGCACTGATTAGCCGCACATCCCTTGAACTCCATCAATGCCAAAACATTGGGGTCTTGCCACACCATTCACTGCTATATGCCTTCTGTTATGTAGACTTGAAACACTCATTGTGAAGTAAGTACTTTTGGTAGATTTTTGAAGACTGATCTCCCATATTCTATATCCAGTCATTTTGAGCCAGTTAACGTGTGGTTGAACACACACACACACACACACACACACACACAGTTGTTTATAGTGGTAATGACTGGGTTGCAACTAGCTAAATGTTTCCAGGTAATGTAGGACCAGTCCGGCCAAACCTGGCCATGGGCTCTCTTGTAGGCCAAGGGTTGCAGGTCACATCCCCTACCCGTTCCACCAGAAAGCACACCTGTACTTAATAAGGGCAGATTTAGGTGCCTTTGGGCACCTCAGTTCGGAGCAGAGAGTGGAATAGGAGGGTGACACCGATACCAGTGGAAGACTGCTGCTGTTGCCTACTGCCGCTGATAGCTCAAAGCACAATGGCTCTTAAAAGAAAGCCTCAGGGCTGAGCCAGGTTTCTCTCTGAAACAAAGAGCAAGTAGGAGTGAAACACCCTTTCTGCCCAAAAGAGAAGGGTGCTGGTTCTCTGAGGGCTTTACCAGCATCAAGGTAAAGTGTGCACCAAGCATTGCTCCAAAAAAAAAATACACAACAGATTGTCCAGAAAAGCAAGGGGTGGGAGAACATAGGAAGAAACCAGCTGCATCAGGTCAAAACCCATCTAGTCCAGCATCCTCTTCTCACAGTGGTCCATCAGATGCCCATGGGTAGCCCACAGGCAGACCTCTTGTCATTCCCAGCAACTGGTGTAAAATGGAAGATGTTCCTTTTTTTTTTAAGTGAACTTTAAAAGGCTGTCCTTGCATAAACCACCCTGCTGCACCTATCTATCTGAAATTTTGGCAAGCTTCATCTCCCGCTACCCCAGACGTCATCCAGTTTTGGGGGGGGGGGGAATTGGAGAAGTTATAGGCACTTGGTGCTTGCCAAAACTAAAAAAAGAAGTTATAGCTGTTTGTTGAGTTTTCCATTATAGTTAATAGGGAGACATCCAAAGCATCAGAAAATGAAGTGAGGCAACGCAATGCCATTCCGTGGCTCCAAACCAAAGCGCCCCCCTTTACAAAGTGGGTTCCAAACCTGATATTTATTTAGGGCTCAATCAATTTATGGCTTTCTGGGACAACACACCAGCAGCTTGAATGGGGCCCAGAAGCAGATTCTTTTTTCTTTTCTTTCTTTTCTGCCTACATCACAGCGTATCTATTGGCTAAAGTCGTCTTTGTTTCTCTGGAGCCTTTTGCACAATACATCCTGGCATGTGTGACACAGTCATTGACGAAGTGACTGAGCACACATTTAGAAAACAACTTTGGAAGCCTTGCTTATATAGCAAGAGGTGAGGTAATCGTTTTGTCTCTGTTAACAAAGCTGAATATGATGAATTGCAATAATTAAATTTCTCAAAATACTTAGGAAATTAAACAAGTGGCACAATTGCCAGTAATGGGTATAAAAATAAGAGCAGGGCAGAGTTTTGGAGATGGGCTTTCATGAACTCTAGCAACGCAGTTGGGGTGGAGCTATCTAATGACTTTTGTCTGTGAATCCATAATAATTTATTTCCATATTTTAAACAAAAGTGTTGATCTATGCTATATACATCCCTGTTTTGTTTACAAGAATTTAAGCGTTTTCAGGACATAAGAATTGAGTCAAGACAAATGGCAGAAGTTATTCTTCTTGTGCTCCAAGAATGGGTATGGGGGGGTAAGGCCCCCCCCACATGCTGGCCCAGTCCCAATTTCCCTT